GATAGTTGCTATAGTGGAAGTCAGGACATGATCCTCTCAAGACCTACATGAATGGCGTTTGCAGGGCTGTGAGATGGTTGCGGGGAATCAGGACAGAATCCAGACGTGGGCTTCTAGCTGATGTTTGTTCTTCCTGGCACAGAATAATGGAAGGAGAAACAAACCTCAGGTCCCCGCGAGAATGCACTGCACAGAGGTGGACCCAAAGCCAGCCTGGGAAGTTACTTTCCTACTTTAATGGTTCCAAGAGCGCTCAGGGTATCTGTAGATCTGAAGCATCAACCAAACTGGGCTGTGTCCACGCTACTGGGGGTGCCTCCGGCACTTGAAGATATGCTCACCCAGTTGCTGTGCGGCAAAGGCTCCCAATTACATAAGCTTTGCTGTGTAATTGTTCAGGGCTTTCCAGGGAATCCTTGTCTGTATTCTTAGGGCAGGAGATAATTTCCTAGTGACCTTTAGCAAGCCATCATCTGACTTAGGACATTTTGTCCTGGTGTCTACATAACAATAACAGACTTTTCAGGTTTTTGCTTGGCCTCAATGTTTTGTTATTCAAGTCTGAGAAGTTGTGTTTCTGAAAAGTGAGGGCGGGACAAGCAGGGTGGGCGTGGAACCAGGTACGGCGCCAGAATCCCTCCTTTGAAAATTAGAAACCAAATTCCTCATTAAATGTGTCTTCTAGAAAAGTATAGAAAACAGGATTTGCCCTGAGAGCTCTGTAACATTATTCCCCACTCGACCTGCACACCTGCAGAGCCCCTGGGGCAGACAGCGCTGGTTTAGGGGGTTAAAGCAGGGCCAACCTGTGAAAAGGTGGGGACTCAGGCAACCGCTCTCTCCGCCCTGGGTCTCACTGCCCCGCCGGCCCAGGACCTGAGACAGCGGCTGCTCTCCTCCTCCTGAGGGGAGGTATCAGATGTTGTAGAAAAAGTCAGGGACCCTGGGTTTGACTCTTACCAAATGGTGTGACTTTGGGCTAGTCATGTCATCCTCCTTTCTAAGTCTTAAGTCGCAAAATCTGTAAGATAGAGGTGTCCATAGTGCCTGCTTTGGCCTGCTCCAAAGGCGCTGGAAGATGAAATCTGGTAGATAATGCTGTTATAATCTCATGCAAATGAAAATCACACTGTCGAAAAGTTCTATTTCCAGAACCTCCTCTTTGAAATTCAAGAGTGAGATTATAAATTGCCTATTCTAAGTTCTGGGTGCATATGTATTTTAAATCTCACAAAGTATCCTGGACTTTGCCTTAACTAAAGGAATTTTCGGCAAGAGCTAGAGACAGCTATTTCTTTGGGGCAGGAGGGCCTTTCCACCTTATCCTGCTAGTGAGATGGACGGCAGTTATTTGACTAAAGTGATGTCGAAAAGGGGTCAAGTTCACCACTTCATGTGTTGGAAGGTCCCTTTCTGGCTTCAGTGTTCATTAGAGGCCTGGCTGTGACTGAGTCCAGCTTTGAAGGGAGGTGTGCAAGGCAGATGGTACGAGATGTTCTGAAATCCAACTACCTTGGCTCCTTGACCACTCCCAACCCTACTACAAGGAAGCGGAGTCAGACCCCGCCCCACACGCGCGTCCACACAGTGTATGGACATCACGGAGCACACCATCTGCCAGGCCGTGCTGGGCGCTGGGAACGCAGACCTGGGTACATCTGGGGTTGCCCTCTGCTGCTTGTAGTTGAAGAGGAAGATGAGGCTAAATAAGTAATGTGACCAGAGGGTATTGACGAAGGCAGAGACTTGGAGACTTGATGGCAGAGGCTGTGAGCTGAGCTGGGTGGAGAGGGTGGCGCCCGGAACCTGGAAGGATGGATAGGCGTCAGGCCAGGGGCGGTGGGAGAGTGAGCAGACAGACCCCAGCATTTGGGAAGTCCCCAACAGTAGTGACAGCAGAAAGTCCAGTGAGGCTTTTGGAAAAATTTCCCCCTTCTCTTCAGGGCTGGTGTTGTTGCTATTTTAAACGTGACTCTATCTGGATAAAACTCATCTCTGGGTGGTCTTTCCTGAGCCTCATCTGCAGCCCTCACTCAGAAAGGCCTAGAATGGGCAGAAGGACGGAGAAGGCAGTCTGAAGTCAGACCATAGACTCAGGACATTTCGATACACTGTGATAGCTGTGAGTCTAGGATTAAATTCCCACGCATGCTGATTTTCCTCAGGACGTTGGGCAACATCAAGAGCAAGGCCATGTAGGTTGGGGTGCAGGGGATGTACACTGCCTTCTCTCTGTCTTCACTCCCACCCCAACTTGGATGTTATTTTGGAGGAAGTGGAGGTTTGTTTACACCCCAGAGATCCGGTTTTGAAGCTAGGAGGATTGCACAATTCAATTCTGACCCTGTCCTGGGAGGCCTCTTCTGTGGCCGCTCCCATTTCATGCCCAGGAGGGGGCACTGAAGGAGGTGGGGAATGATCAGGGCTTCAGGGTCTCTTTTCATTTCACCCAGGAGGAAACAATGCTCAGAGATAACCAGGGCGAACACCACACAGACACTTGGTTGCAGAGCCAGGACTGGAATGCATCTCGACGCCAGCTGCACACGATACTCCAAGCTGGGCCTTCACAATTTGCAAAGTGACTTCAGTTTCTATGCCTTTCCTCATCTGACACTCTCAGTCATTCTGTGTGGTAGGCTGGGATTCAGATCCTTATTTTGCAGATGAAGAAACTGAAACTCAGACCGGTTATTTGACCAAGTCCCCAAAGTTAGAAAGTGGACTTTGTGATGCAAATTCAGTGTGCTTTCCACCCTGCCACGTGGATAAGGCCCACAGTCTCGGGGTCTGCGGACTGTCCCCCGACAATGGCTTGGAAGGTAGATAATGATTTCAGAGGAAGGCTTTTAGGGGGTCAGTCAACCATGTTCGAGCGTTCTCGCCAGTTCTCCAGCCTTCAAGTTTCAAATCAAATCAAAATCAGCAAGCAGCTGGCCCTGTCCTATAATCCTTCCCCACAAATTGCCATCGAATCTCAAGTCAGTAGTCTGTGTGGGCAAAGAAGCTCCCCATCTTCAAATCCACACGTCAGGGACATGTGTTTTCTGCAGGGACTCTGGCACTTGCTTTGGTAGAGAAGGTTCTCGTTATACATATGTTGAAAAAAATAATAACTGAACGATCTATGGGGTGTTCTGGTTCTGCCATGTTCCTCTCATTTTCCCTTGGGGTCACACGAGGGGTAGAGGTGTCTTTGCTGCTGGTCTCAGGAGGCCACAGGGTGACCTCCTCTTGGTAAGGTGATGTTGACAAGACAGCACTGGTCTAGATGGGGAGAAGGAGCTGGTAGTGGCTCAGGGGCTTTCCCAGAGGGTAAGCAATTTGCTTGGCAGGCAGAAATGGGTGGTTCTGAGCTTATGCTGAAATGGAGACACTGGGGAAGAAAAGGGGGTTGAGAGGGAGGAGGTGGGGACTGTAGAACCTGAGGCTGAGGCCAAGTCACAGCAAGTCTGGCACGGGGTCAGGGAGAGGGGCAGAAAGCTGGATTCAGGGTGTCCCTCCTTTGAAAGACTGTCACCAGTGGTGCTAGGTGGGGGAGCGCGCTGCTAAAGAGAGAAGGGTAGCTGTCAGGCTTGGGTGCTTCACTGAGTAAGAGGACTATTTTGGAAGAACAGAACTGGCCAGGCCCGCCTTCCTCTGAACCAAGGGCTTGCACGCTGCTATGTAAGTCCTCTCTCCTCCAGCCTGCTCACCTCCGTCTCCAGTCTTATCCAAACCCAGGAGCCTAGTCCAGAGCACAGCGAAGCATACAATGAAATGAGACCACAGTGCACAGGCCCGGCAGCTCCCGCAAACGTGCACTGTTATTTACCTCGGCTGCGCCTCAGCAGTTGCAGCCGCAGCAGTTTCATCTCCGGTGGTTCAGAGGTCTGGGTGTTCAGCTGAATTTAGGGTTAGTTTACAGTGTGTGCTGCCCCTTTATGCCCTTGGGCAGAGGACCTGCAGCGCTGCTGGCTGGGGACTGGCATGTGTACGTGCCCAGTTGCCGCCCAGGGAGCAGCTCTGCGCTTGTCCTCCCCGGAGGGAACCCGAACAACCTGTGCTGGGCCCTGCGCGTGGCTGTGGGCACTCCAAGTACATTCTGGGGCCCCGAGTAGTTGGCGCTCTGAGGTCACCGTGGGGCGGCTTCCTCGGAGTCTCGTGTGCCCTGTTCTCCACCTGGTTTTCCTTGCCTGTGGCTCACTGGGTGGCGGGATGCGGCAGGGGGCTGTGGGTGTTTGGTGGCCGGACAGGGCTGTGCAGTCGGCGAGGAGACAGGTCGCGGTGCAGGACGACCGCCACGCCGCTCGGCAGAGGTGGCGAATCACCGCGGAGGAGACGAGCGCCCTGCACCCCTCTCGCCGCCGCAGGGGTTCGACTAGGTGTGCGCGGCGGGGCGGGGGCGCGCCTCCAGCGCTCGGCGTGACTCCCCGTCCCGCGCAGGGGAGGGGCCGAGGCGGCGGAGCGGGGCGAGCGCGAGCGGGCGCGCTGCGGGCTCACACGTGACGCGCCAGCCGAGCGGCCCGGGCGAGGCGGCGGGCGCAGCGGCCAGGCGGGGGCGGGCAGCGGGCACCCGGGAGCGGCGCGCGCGCCCCGGTCCGCCGCTCGGCCGGCCGCGCGCTGCACATTCTGTCCTGGCGGCGGCGCCACCTGCTGCAGCGTTCCCGAACATGGCGACACGGAGCAGCAGCAGGGAGCCGCGGCTCCCCTTCCTGTTCGCCCTGCTCGCCCTGCTGCTGCCCGCGGCCCCCGGCCAGGGCTGGGCGCCCACGCTGCACGGCGGCCGCGCGCCGCGGCCCCAGGACCGGGGCTTCCTGCTGGTGCCGGGCGACCCGCGCGGGCTGCCGCTGCGGGCGCGCGAGGACACCCGGGGCGCGGGCGACCAGCCGCTCCGGAGGCGACGGAGCGCCGCTCTGCAGCCCGAGCCCATCAAGGTGTACGGACAGGTGAGCACTTCGCGACCCGCCGCCCAGCCCCTTCCCCTCCGCAGTCCCTCACTCCCGCATCCATCCCTTGCCGAAGCCTCCCAGGTGCGGGCGCCGCCGGGACTTCCTGGCGTGCATCTGTCCTCCCCTTTCACCCCCACGAGGACAGCCGTCAGCAGTTGAATTGCATTCATCTTTCCTTCTTCCTGTGATTTTAGCAAACGTATCCCTGGTAACTCGGGGGTGCAGTGCCTATTTCCCTAGGGTGAGTGCTGACCCTTGCAGTTTACCGTGAGGACAGGAGGGGTGCAGCTTCATCTTACATGTGGACAGAAAAATGGGCCTTAGCATACCATCAGCGGGCAGTGGAGCGAGCTCCCTGCAGTCGACACAGAACAGATTGGGGGGTTTCCACACCTACCATGTCGACCACGGTTAAGGTGAGCTAACGGGGAAGCTTGACATCTAGATATAGTCAAGAGGATATTGTGCCGTGTGTGTGTGTGTGTGTGTGTGTAAGGGTTTTTTTTTTTTTTTTTAAATGTGTGTGGGTAAGGTTCTAATCCATTCCACCTCCCCTTCAAGATAATTTACTTGATTTAGCATAGAAATATCCCTCACAATTTGAAAGACTGCAAGAGTTTTTTGGTGTTACTCTGTGATATGTACAGGCAATGGGTTTATTAGATTATGAGTGACACGCATTTCACGTTCATGGCCAGACTTACTGCTAGAAATTGCAAACCCAGTTTGTCGGTTGGTATCACCACTGGCAAAATTAAATCTCCTGTGTTCGATTCATGAGACTCCTAAGCCTGAGGCTAAGTCTGACCAAAGCAAAACTAGAAGGCCAATGGGTGAGAAAAAGTGGCAGAGTGGAGGTGGGATCCTGCCCGATTTCCAGTCAAAACGTTCCCTTTTACAGTAAAAATGAAAAGATTAGTTTGAGTTTTGCCTTCGCTGATTTTTCTTTAGCCATTTCTTCAGGAAAGAGATAGTTAAATGTTCAATCCTTGGAGCCAGGAAGAACCTTATAAACCATCTTACCCTATTGTGTCATTTAAATGTTTAAAATGAAATTTATTGCAGTGACATTGGTTAACCCTATCCTGTCATTTTGTTGATGAAGAAACCAAAGCTGGGGAAGGTGGAATGACTAGCCCAAGGGCACAGGGGCAAGGTTGTCTGCTCTTTGACTTTGGTCTGCACTGCCTCAGTGACCTGTGGGTGATTACACAGTTGCTGTGCCTTTATAGAAGGCCTCTTAAATACCTTGTTTTAATTCATTGGTATATATAGCTGTAAAGGAGGCAGAGATGGTGGTGAGTGGGTGGCAGCATTTGACTTCTGTCTACTGTCAGCCCTTGGGGACCAGTGTGTGCAGTGGGCATGTAACCGCTGGTGAGCATGGGCTGCTGGAACCCACCTGCTCCATGCCCTCTGTTCCCTGGTACAGACCCCTCAAGTCCTTGTTTCCCTCCTCCATCCCCATCTGAGACTGTTTTGTGTGTGTGGTTGAAGCCATCAAGGTCCTTGCTCTCAACAGAGATGCCAACGTCCTGATGGAGGAGAAGGGGGATGGAGAGGCTCCCCTGCTCCCCGAGTCTTCTCAGTCAGCCCAGCTGTGCTGTGGACTTGAGTCAGCTCTTTGGGAGCTCCAAGTGGGGTGGTGGGGGGACAGCCCCTTCCAGAGCTCAGGGCTTCTGCAGCTCTAGTTTTGGCTGAGGGGGGAGCTTCCTGGTCTCAGAAATATGGGTTTGTTTTGTGAAAACTCCTTGGGGCAAGTTAAAGGTGAACTGTGTTCTCATTGGGAGTGACTTCAAAACCTCAGCTTCTGTTCGTCAGGCAGCCGATTGAGTTCGGTTCAGTTGAAGAATGGAGACCCAGCAGTCCACCAAATAAGGAGGAATCCTACTGAAAGTGAGGACACAGGCAGTGTTCCCCTTTTTCATGCCTTACTATGCCATTGTCCTCTGTTGCCCTGAGGTTGGTAAAAGTGGGATTGATTTGAATCTTTAAGGATTGAGTTAGATTGGAGGAAGGACGTCCTGGTGCTGGGCTTGCTGCCCTGAGGACTGCCTGGTGCAGACCCTTGGGGCTTTGGACACAGGGATTAGTAGCTAAGAGCTTGGCCTGCCCCCTGCCCCCAGCTTGGAGCCCTGGAGAGATCACGTCTATCGATGGGCCTTGCTAGCAAGATGTTCCCCTGCACAGACCTGGTCGAAGTTGCCCTGCGGGTTGGGAAGAGGGCTGCCTTCACTCTGCGTGTAGGGATGTGGACTCCAAGAGTGTGGCCCTCCTGCCTCCCGCCCTAAGCCAAGTTCCACTGTGGACCCTTTTTAGCTTTTAAACCTGTGAAATGTCAGTGTTTTCTGTGGTATTGCTTCACCTGAATGTGGTTCTGTATAGAGATGGGAGAGCAGACGGGGTGGGACTGGATGCAAATACGACGTGTGACTGTACCCAGCCGGGACCAGCAACCAGGATGCAGTGAACCTGCCACCACTTTGCAGTGGGGGTGTGAGTGGGTTGTTTGATATGGGGGACATGGGAGACGGAGTGATAAGGGGTCCATGGGCTCCAGTGCTCTGCAGCTTCTGACCTGTGACCTTGGAGGGGGTTGAGGATGCCTGGCAGCAGAGCGGAGGCTGGAAGCATAAGCTGCCTGCAGGCACGGAAGCCCTGGGGCCGCCAGCCTCTGAGAGAGGAGCAAGGAGGGGATGCAGCTGAGGAAGAGCTGGGTTGTAGTCGGCTTTTTCTCTGGCTCCACTCACCGATGGAGTTGAGCCCCTTCTGACAGAGGCTGAACCCAAGACAGAGAGTCCATCATTCTGGCCACAGTTTCCTTCTGAGTGAATGTCAGCTCTGTGTCTGTGCCATTGTGCTGCTTGTTCTTGTCCCCTGTCCCATTCCTCAGCGTCCACGGAGCGCCTCCCAGGAGTCCCAGGCTCCAGTGGGAAGAGTTGTTTTGAGCTCAGGTACAGCATCTTCCGCCTCGTACTGTACTGGTCTAACTGTCCCCTCTCCGTTGTTCCCGTGGGTACGGATCAGGTCTTTCTCTGCTCCATACGCCGGCACTAAGGAGTCCCTTCAGCAGTATCTGTGGGCCTTCTGCACCCCTGGGAGAAGATGGGCCTGGAGGTAGGGAGCACATCCAAGTTCTAGAGAAAGTGAGCTGGCTCACCTGGTGGTGAGGGTGGTGGGTCGTGCAGCCCGTTTCTCCTGTGCTGTCCTGGGGTTGTTCTGAGCGATGAGCTGGGACTCTGTTGTACCGTGTCCTCTCTGTTAGGGTTCTCATGGTATCGCCAACATGTTGTTTCGGGGAAGAATCTTTTGGCATGAAGCGCAAAGCCTGACAGGATTTACAGGTTTATTTTTCTTCCAATGAGCTCTCTCTTTCTAACTCCTGCTTTTTAGACGCCAGGGAGTATTCAGTGTCCTGATTTGAGACTGAAAATTGAGTTTCTGTTACAGCACAAGGTCCTGGGACAAAGAGCCTGCTTTGGGGGTGGCGTACGGTGTGGCTTTAGATCTCTGTGGAGTAGATTCTTGCTTGATACAGCTGCCGGGGAAAGAATTGGTTGGTTGGTTCTGAAGTGAGATGTTTGACCTGTGTGCTTCCAAAAGATGAGAAGGCAAAGCACTTGCTGTTTAAAGTTGGCTCCTAAGCAGGTGAAGAGTTGCTTGGTGTGTTGGGTTGGCTCGATAGGGAATGTGACCTTGAGAGACTTGCTGGTTCCATTTGGCATCTCATTATTGCAGTTCAGTCTCTGGCCACTATTCAGGTCGGTGAAAGCTTGCTTGTCTGGGGCATGGTGTGTGGAGGCTTTAAGGGGGGGGAAGGGAGGAAAAGGGGGCAGGGATAGGAGGGAGGGGATGGGAATTAACGGGATAAAATGCAGAGCCATTCTGGAGAGCAGTTCTGTAGAGATGTAGAGCCCAGTTTTTGGAGAACATCAGAATATAGACATTCCAGATATTGGTGTTAATTCGTGTTCTTTTCGAGATTGTTTTCTTCGTGGGATGTGAAATGAAGTATGTTCAATAAAGTGCTCTGATGCCTGGGATCCAGGGAGCACTTCCCAACAGCAGAAGATGGATGTTGTGGGACATTTCACGGTCCTGTTTTGGTCTGTTTGTCCTTAAAGATGACGGCCAGCTTTGTGCTGACATTGCTTGATACCAGGTCAGCGAGAGAGGGAGCCGGCCTTTGCCATCCACACAGGAACATTCTAGTGATCTGAAGAGCTGGCAACCCAAAAAGTAACCGCTCTGCCATTGCTATGTATTTATCTAGTCTTTTACTTTATTTTATTTTTCTTTCTTGATTTTAGAGAGAGAGGAAGGGAGAGAAACATCTATGAGAGAGAACATCAATCGGCCACCTCCTGCGTGCCTCCCACTGGGGATCAGGCCCACAACCTGGGCAGTGCCCTGACTGGGAATCAAACCAGCGGCCTCTTGGTGCAGGGTCGACACTCAACCACTGAGCCACACTGTCCAGGCTTATTTAGTCTTTTAAAAAAAATGCATCGATTTACTTTCTAATTAAATTTTGCTTAGGCAACTATGAAAGTGGGTTTGCATTTTGAGCAGCTGATGTGTGAGGTGGCTGGATGGACCAATGCCGGTGTGGAGTTCGGAACATTCGACAAGTCAGATGCAGATAACGGACTGCATCACCATGTATTACAGCTGAGGAATGATGTTGACCTTTTCTCCGTTTTTGTTTTTTTTTTTTTAGATTTACTTGTGGAAACTAAAGGAGAGCTCACTCCATTTCGGTTGCCTGTCTGGGGAGTAGTGTTTGGGCCGAGGGGGAAGGCGTGGTCTTTACTGGTGAGCACAGAACCTTCAGTGTGTCCCAGGAGCACCGGGGAGCCATTGGCACATGGCATGTTGCCATGAAGGTGCAAACACCAATTTCCCCCAGTTTAAAATGAGTCACAGTGAACTTTGACCGAAGTTACTGGTTATCGAGCTGTGGGCGGGCCCTGGTTGGTGCTCAGTGGTTAGAGCATCGGCCAGTGGACCGAAGGGTCTTGGGTTTGATTCTGGTCAAGGGCAGGTGCCTAGGTTGCAGGTTCAATCCTCAGCCCTGGTTGGGATCGTGTGGGAGGCAACCAATTGATGTGTCTCTCACATCAGTGTTTCTCCCCCCCCTTCCACTCTATCTAAAAAGCAATGGAAAAATGTCCTCGGGTGAGGATTAAGAACAACGAAAAGAAGTGGATGGGCAGCGGAGGTGGCTGATGATGCTATAAACCCGAGAGAGGGTGGGCTGCTGCTAAGATCAAGATTTGGTTTTACTCTGTGATTGTGAGACCCTCAGATTTTTAGTTGTGACATGAGGAACGCTTTGTGCGTTTTGGGGGTGGGTTCATGCAGATAGGACTTCATAGCCGTCAAAACTGTGACAGTGACTTAGAAGGAATTGCAG